GCAACAACCAATGAACAACAATAATAAATCACCAAAAAACACACACAGAGACACCAAGATTTTTTAACGTGGAAAACCCTTCAAAGTAAGGGTAAAAACCATGAGTCGTCCAGACCAAAGAAATAGCTCCACTATGATCAACAAAGAGTACAAAAGAGTCTCAGTCTACTGCACAAAATAGTGCTAACACCCAGCCAAACAACAAAGTAATAAAGCTTACAAATAGAGAACAAAGAAGATGAAAAACTTCAAATACATAGCTACAGTGCGAACTGAATATCTCCCTACTCAGACCTCTTTTCAACGATCCAACCGGTCAGAATGAAGAACCGGATGTCACGAACCTGCTGTCCAATTTTTAGCCCGATCCAACGGTGAACGAATCTTCAGTACTAATTTTACTGTCGCAACTCTGTGTAAAAACGAGAATGACTTTCTCTCTTCCTCTCTCTCAAAGTGCTGGTGCTCTAAGTGACTTTTGACTTTCCCTCTTTTTTTTTTCTCCTACCCGTTTCAGACTCTCTCTCCACTTAATTAAGTGAGACATCAAGTGAGCTTCTCAATTTTGGGCTTTTTCTCCACATAAGAAGGGAGCCCAATACCCAATAGAAATCAATTTTGCTATGAGGTAAAGTAATCATTTATTAGTAATCACTCATAAAAAAAACATTTTAATGCGTATTTTTCATTTAGACATGCATAATTTTGCCATTTCCACTTTCAAAATAGAAAGATGCGAAAACTTTTTTTTTTTTTAAACTCTTATTAGATCACATTCATTGATAATAAACGTGTGACCAAACCCAGTTAAAATTATTGAACTAAATTATATAAAAAAAATAGTTAAGATGATAAATTTATTTAATAAATATTATTAAAAATTAAATTTACAAATTTATTTAATTATTTATTAAATTATATATTTTAATTGTATAAATTAGAAGAATTGAGACACTTCATGTCTTTAATAGTTATATACAAATAAATATTAAAAATTATTGATAATTATTCAAATAGGATATAAGATTTTTTTTTATATATTTAAAGATATAACAATTCACTTTTTGATAATTATTCAAATAAGATATAAGATTTTTTTATATATATTTAAAGATATAACAATTCCTGAAGATAAAAAGATGATTATCAAAATATATATTTTTTATAATAGGTATATATAAATTATATAATTTATATAATTTAATTAATTATAACATCCAATTGTCATGTAATTAAGGAAGTGTTATAGATATAATAGGTATATATAAATTGTATAACTTATATAATATAATTAATTATAGCATCCAATTGTCACGTAATTAAGGGAGTGTTATAGCAATTGAAGAAACTATCGATGAGTCCTATAATTGTTTGATCACTTGATGTGTGGCGGTTGGGAGAACATGGCTATGGCTTATGAGTGAACCGCAGCATCATGTCCCTTTACTAATTTATTGTGACATTGCTTACATTCATTTTTTTAAAGAGTACAATTTGTTTAATACTATCCTCTCTAATTTTATTTATTAAAGATAATAAACTTTAATTTGTTTACTTGTTTAATTACAATTAAATATAATAATATATTTTATGTATTAAATTATTTTACATAAAGTATATAATTTAGTAAATGATTTTATATAATTTAGTAACTAATTTTGTATAATTTATAAATTTGTTCAATTAAAATAAGCGTATTTATAAATAAATTAATCTTAAATTTTAATGTTTTTACATTCAATATAGAACCCATTTATTTGTTCTTTAAAGAGTTTTTTTTTAAAAATAATTTGTTTTAAGAGAGATCCATTGTAATTTCAAATATTTTATGAGGATATTTATTTTAAATTATTTTATAAGTAATTTTTCAAAGCAAATATATTATTTTAAATTATAATAATAAATATTTGATATTAAAAATAATTAAATCCAATCAATTTTGGGAGAAGAGGCCACGTGTTTACTTAGCAATCGTGTTTCTAAATTCAGATGAAATAATTAACAAGGATAATATAATTTCACAAAAAAAAAAAAGAAGGATTATTACTATATTGGAACAGTGATATAGAATTAAATCTGATAAAAAAAATAGAATAAAGTATGTCTTCTACTTGTGCAAAATATTCTGATGACACTGTCATTTGAAGTTTATTTTTCATAAAGTTTTAAACATTGTACTAAGAGGGTTTATCTCGATTGATTTAACTAAATATTGCACTAAAATTTATTAGTTTTATGGATTAAAAAAAAGGGTATTGCAAACTTTACTGGCAACTATTTCCCCTCTTTATACTCCCGTTTCTGCTTCTCTTCATAAGCATAACTAAGGTATCTTCTTAAAAATATTATTATAATTTTTTAAATTTTTTAATAAAAAATTTACAATTCAAAAATTAAAAATAATAAATAAATTTAGAGTAAATCACGTAAATTTCATCTAAGGTTTTTACATGGTCAGTGATAAAGATGTCAACAATTATGCTATTATAGTAACATTTCCATTAATGTTTTGTGTAATATGTAAAGATTACATAATTGTTGGTACACTGGTCAAGCATATATGGATAAGACTGAAAAGGTCAACAAGAAAGTTGTGGAAAATTCAATTGAATCAAAGTTGGCTTACCATTACGATATACTAGTCAAACGAGGGTGAAGGTTGAAGGAGTAAATACCTAAACTACGAAGCTTCTAGCAGAGTCCACACGATGAAGGATGAACTACGAAGAAACTTCATGAAAAATCCAAATTTCCACTGATTCCTCTAACTCAATATAAATAACACTCATCATCATAATCGATGTATCATTGCAGACACAACAACCTTAGCAGAATAAGACACAGTTCAATCACTTCCTTAACCAGTTTTTCTAAATCCCCACAAAACAACACCACCATGATGTCTATGTTCAGCCATTTCGAGATCGCGCAGGGCCAGAAGTGGAGGTTTTCCTTCGGCACGGGCCTCGGAAAAGGTGCGAACGCCAAGCCCAACATGGGAGGGCCTTCTTCCTCCGCGGACGCCGAGTCCAAACCCGCCGGAAAAGATTCGAATCCATCTTCCCCCGTCGGGCCCAAACAAAACCCGGCCCGTTTGAGGCCCAGGTTTGCGCCGGAGTTGGATGGGTTGCACTGCTTTGAATCCATCGTACCCTGTTAGATGGATTCCTCTCGCCTCCGATCTCAATTCTTTTATGATCGCATCATATCAAAATCGTATTCAATTTATTTTTACTGTATAGTTTAATCTATTGTTGAGAAAGCTACCAACACCAGAGATCAAATTATGTTTCCTTGTAACTTGAAAATTGCAAGTTCAAATTACAAATACTATTTTTCTTCTGTTTGCAAATTACCTTAATTGCAGTTCTCTCTTTTTTTTTTTTTTTTTTTTTTTTTTTTTTTTTTTTGTTTATACTGGCAAAAGCAATCTCGATCTATCTCATTTTAAGAGATCCTTTAGTTTTTTTTTTAATTCTAATGACGACACCGGTTCAGACTTAAGACCATGTATATTATTAAATTTTCGTACAGTACATTAAATATTAAAAATTGATTATGTCAACCTTAAAAAAAGAAGAAAAAAAAAGACTAGGAAGGTATAGCAACCAATTATAGAAACAAATTGGAAGACGGGGTTTTCTGGGCGGCATCAAACCACATCAGCACTTTGAGAGAGAGGAAGAGAGAAAGTCATTCTCGTTTTTACACAGAGTTGCGACAGTAAAATTAGTACTGAAGATTCGTTCACCGTTGGATCGGGCTAAAAATTGGACAGCAGGTTCGTGACATCCGGTTCTTCATTCTGACCGGTTGGATCGTTGAAAAGAGGTCTGAGTAGGGAGATATTCAGTTCGCACTGTAGCTATGTATTTGAAGTTTTTCATCTTCTTTGTTCTCTATTTGTAAGCTTTATTACTTTGTTGTTTGGCTGGGTGTTAGCACTATTTTGTGCAGTAGACTGAGACTCTTTTGTACTCTTTGTTGATCATAGTGGAGCTATTTCTTTGGTCTGGACGACTCATGGTTTTTACCCTTACTTTGAAGGGTTTTCCACGTTAAAAAATCTTGGTGTCTCTGTGTGTGTTTTTTGGTGATTTATTATTGTTGTTCATTGGTTGTTGCTCCTCACAGATTCTTGCAAGTTTGGGGAATTTATTTCCGTTGGGATTGTCGCCACCGGCCCAAACGGGCCTCGGCGGTCGCGAAGACGGTCGAGCTCGCTTTTATTTTAGTTTTGAAAATGTATTGGATTATTAGAACGACTTGTTCTCAAACTGAGACCTTGTCGATCTTATCCAATTTATTTATTAAATGTCTCACCAATCCATGTTAATCCCAAGCGGGACCCTCCATGGATTAGTGGTTTTCATAAAAAGGAAGGGTTCGTGGAGTCGCCACCAATGTTTTACTCAAAACATTGGAAAAAGGTGCATCCTGATTTGATTGTATCCCGAGTACGCATCCATGAAGCTCAATAATTCATACCCCGATGCGTTGTCGACTAGACAATCTATGTTGGGTAGCGGGTATGAATCTTTTGGACAAGCTTTGTTTAAGTCGGTGAAGTCCGTGCACATCCTCTAGTTTCCATTGCTCTTTCGTACCATTACGACGTTCGCTAGCCACGTCGGGTATTGGATTTCCCGAATGTGACCAGCCACCAACAACTTCTTCGTCTCCTCGGCTATGGCTTTCTTCTTATCCTCCCCAAACTTTCGTCGTTTCTGAATCACCGGCTTCGCATTGGGGTCGACCATGAGACGGTGACATAGGAAGTCGGGGTCAATACCTGGCATGTCGCCAGCACTCCATGCAAAAGCCGATACGTTGCTCTTCAACACAGTCAGCAACCCTTCTTCGTCTTCTTTAGCCAGAGATACACCAATCTTGACCGTTTTGCCTTCGGCCAGGCTAACTTCCTTCACATCCTCCGCCGGGGCTGGTCGGGAATCGAAGTGGATCATCCTCGGATCTAACTCGATTGACTGAACACCCGATCAATCTGCGTCACATATAGTTGCCTCCTCGCCCTCAAACTGTCCTCGTAGCATTTCCTCGCGACTTCTTGATCGACACATAGGACCCCGACCTTTCCGCTAGGCAAAGGATACTTCAGCTTCAAGTGAGGTGTGGAGACGACTGCTCCCAATTTATTCAGCGTGGGTCAGCCTACTAATATGCTGTAGGACGACTGGGCGTTCACCACCAGGTATCGAACAGTGATAGTCTTCATGTTGTCTCCCTTGCCAAAGGTTGTCTCCAAATCGGTGTACCCCCTGGCCGTTACCTGATCACCTGCAAAACCAACTAACGTACCTGCATATGGCATAAGGAGATCGGTTAGAATTTTCATCCCGACGAAGGCTTCCCAGAACATTATGTCTTCCGAGCTACCTTGATCCACCAACACTCGTTTCACATTGTAACCCATGACAATCGCCGAAACGACTATAGGGTCGTCCTCATGGGGAGACACACCCTCAAAGTCGGCGTCCGAGAACGTGATGGCTGGCCGAGTAGGTCTCGCCCAATCTGAGATTGATAACACTGATCGAGAGTATCTCTTCCGTGTTGTTGACGTCGGACCTCTTCCAGCAAATCCCCCTGCTATGGTGTTGAAGTCTCCATGGACAGCTTGCTGGTGAGTCTCTGTACTTTTTTCTGGAAGATCTCTAGGGGGAGACCTCCCTTCTCACCTCCCTCTTCTCGTGTCTTCTCCTTCACGCCTGCGTCGCCTGTCGGATGAACCTTCATATTGCTTCCCTGCAATGAATTTTTTCAGACGACCCTCCTTGATAAGGCGCTCAATCTTTCTACCGAGAACGAAGCAATTCTCCATAGTGTGTCCATGGGTCCGATGAAATTCGCACTAGTCGGTTTTGTAGGGTCCCAACTGGCGGTCAGTCATCGCTGGGAACTCGAAAAGTGACGCACTATTAACGTCATGCAGTATGTGCCGCCTGGGAACGTTGAGTGGAGTAAACTTCTCTTCTTCCTTGTTGCGTGTCCACTCGCCCCTTGGCCGACCAACATGATCGGCCTGTCGGTAGTTGCTCTCCTTCGTGTTGTAACGGTCACGACGCTTACTCCAATCCGACCGCGGTCGGAGATGCTTATTGTCCTCCTTATTGTTGCCCCCTGTTTCTCGGCTCTCCGCTGCTCTCTTGTTGATCTGCCCTTCCTCCGTCTTAATGTGGCTCAGCGTGAAGGCTCTCACCTCCGACATCGTCTGGCAATTTGCTCTTTCCAGCGCGATGTCGAAAGCTCCAGACCTCAGGCCTTCAGGGACTCCTCACGCTGCTGTTTGAGGTCGAACAGGTCCGACGTGATCGGCGGTTTCTTCTTGTTAGCAGCGAATTGTGCCATGAAAAGCCGACTGAAAACATCGAAGTCGGTGATTGATCGGTCGGGGAGGCCGCTAAACCAATCAAGCGCTGCCTTTTCGAGTGTGCCCATGAATAGTTTGCAGCGGACTTCCATGCTCCCTCTGCAAATCAGCATCTAAGCTCGGAAATCCGTCAAGTGCTGGCTGGGGTCCTCCGTTCCATCAAAAGAGTCGACTTGGGGAATCCGATGATCCCTAGGGATGATCTCGGCTTCTATGGCTTCCGAGAAGGGTCGGAAATCCCTGGGGACTTCCATCATGACGTCTTCCTCCACTGTCCTGGTGCTGGCCGTTATTCTGGCCTGCATCTCGTCTGCGCGCCTCCTGATCTCTTCGTTTTCACGTTGGATGGCCTTCTCTCTCTCCCTGGATCGCGCATTCTCCTCTCTCAAGCCATTGATCATGGCCATCATCTCCTCCATGGTAGGGGGTTGTGAGTTGTTGTTGTTATTGCCGCCTCTCGCCATGGTAAAGTGTAGGTTTCTGGTATTTCTTTTAAATTTTCGTACAGTACATTAAATATTAAAAATTGATTATGTCAACCTTAAAAAAAGAAGAAAAAAAAAGACTAGGAAGGTATAGCAACCAATTATAGAAACAAATTGGAAGACGGGGTTTTCTGGGCGGCATCAAACCACATCAGTGCTGCTGGCCGAGTTATTGGGATTGAAACATGGATTGTTGCTTGCATGGGATGCTGGTTTTAGAGAGGTGCAATGTGAAACAGATTCTTTGGAAGCCTTTAGGCTGGTGTCTATGGCACATGTTCCCAAATTTCACAACTTTGGGTTCTTTTCTTTTTTTAATAAAAATAAATTTTTTTCTTAATAAAAATAAATTCTTAAGATATTATGAACGTAAAAAAGAAAAGAGAAAATTATAAATTAAACACTAAAGGAGTACAAAGCATAGATGAATGTCACGTGGATGTCATGTAGATACATAGGTGGATGCCAAATTTCTTTAATGCATCTGAAACCAGAACGGCCCGTTCTGATTTTAAAACGGGTCATTCTGGTTCCAGAATGTCAAACACAAACGATCGATGATTATAGTTCATGCCCGTGATTCTAAATCACGGTTGTGAATCGTGCAAGGAAAAAGACCCAAAGTACAAAGTATTTCAAACACTGAATTTTGTAATATTGTAATAGGGATTGATAATTTCAATTGCTAAACATTTGGGCTATACAGTGTATCATTAAGGACAATTCAGTGTATCACTAAGGATAATGGTAGCAGATTTTATTTCATTGTTAGTCAAACTGGAGTGAACCACTTTCTAACAAATTGATACTATACAGTCAAGGATGAAACGACATGGTGTTTTCTCTTGAAGTCATTGACCGATGTACCCCAACAACAACCTGTTCTTGAGGAGGTACAACCTGAAGTAGAGGAAGAGGACACACAAGACTAACATTTCACCACACAACCACATGTATAGGTAGATAATGCTGATATCTTATCAGTCATTTAGTGTTATATGATGGATAAGATGTATTATTGGCACCTTCAACGTTATCCAAATAATTTCACTTCTCAGTAATTTCTTTGAACTTTCTTAGTATATGTTATGTTATGAATTTTTTTTTTCAGTCTCTGAACCATATTTCTATCTTTGAATTTATGTTATGTTATGAATTTTTATTTTTAATTTTTGAACCACATTACGACATTTTGTTGAACGTATGTGGTTGGCGTTCTGAATCTAGAACTGCCCGTTTTAAAACCAGAACGGTCCGTTCTGGTTTCAAAACGACCGTTCTGGTTCCAGGTGCATTAAAGAAATTTGGCATCCACCTATGCATCTACGTGTCATCCACTTGGTATCCACGTGGCCAACAGTTAACTCCGTTTAAATAATTTGGACGGAAGTTCGACAATGCACTAATTTAAATTATTAGGGACCAAATTGAAACAAAAAATTAAAGTAGAACTAAATTAAAACTAAAAAAATATTATAAGAGACCAAATTAGAATTTTAACCTTTT